TTGGCTGTTGGTCCCCGAGTGTGTGCGGAGGCGGTACGGGGTGAGGGGGGGAGGTCAAGACATTGTTTGGGGGTAGAGGTGAGTGGGGGGGTGGGGACGGGCAGAGCGGGGCTGGGTTGAGGTTTGAGGAGCGCGGGGCAGGGCAGGGAGCAGGGACGTGGGTGGCAAGGTGCGAGGTTGATGAGGCTTTGGTGAGGAGTTCGGTGGGTAGGGTGGTTAGGTGGGTGCTGTGGCGTTGACATGCGCTGGTGCACATGTGTGAGAGGAGATGCGGTCCCAAGCGTGAAATAGGGTGCAGTGATTGGAGGGATTGGATACTCAGTGACAGTTGACGTCGGTACAGGCCAATGGCGTTGCAGAAAAGTTGGATCTGGATAATATGAGATGTGATGCATGTGCAAGTATGAAAAATCTTGACTGGAACCTGCCTGGAACCTGGGTCTGGGAGCGGGCATTGGTGTTGCAAAGGCGGTCTTGAACTTCTCTGGTGCGCGCTTGCTACCCTTCGAAGGGTCCGTAAACCGACGTCGGTTACGGCTTCCCCCGGTTGCTCTACAGACCCTCGGTAGACCCTGATGCTCTAGTGCCGGGCCGCCCCCAATAATCTCTCAATAAAGTCAATCATTCAAGGGTAGAGAACGGTTTCACTCTCAAAACTACGGCCCTTAGGGCCGTTCCTAACGAAGAGTTCGCCGTGCCAGCACCCGAGCACCCTGAAACTTGGCATGAATGTATTGGTTGAAAAAATTATTGGAAATGCTTTTACTCCCGTTCAACCAATCCATTCATGCCAAATGTCAGGGTGCTTGCGTGATAGCACACCGAACTCTTCGTTAGGAACGGGCCGTTGGCTCTGGCGCAGCCCAAGAAAGGCGGAAGCGAAATGTTTGCAGGACTTGAGAGGGCGCAGCGTGCCACGTGTTAAATCCAAAAGCACCTTGGCACATCCCAATTACATTAGTGAGACACCTTTTCACAAGCTGCAAACCCGCCTGCATTGCCTCTTAAAAATTCCACGCACCCACTCGCCACAGTTGCCATCCCATTCCTGTTCCATCGACCTAACTGCGCCCGCTCTTCACGTGCGCATCCACGCTTCGAAGACGCTCCTCCCCCGACCGTATTCGCGCGGTGGTGCGATCTTGCCTTTCGTGTGCCTCCCGGGCTCCACCGCGCCCTCCCCCCGCGATGGCGCCGCCGCCGCTTCCAGCAGAGCTGCTACGCAAGCTGGAGGCCGCGCAGCGCGTCGAGCCGCCGTCGACCAGGCTCGCGTACCAGGTGCTGGCCATCCAGCTGCGCGTGTGGCTGGCGGACCAGAACGACGTCGCGTGCCGCCCGTGGTACATCTTGATCGCCGAGCTGTACCCGCGCGGCAAGGTCATCAACCAGCGCGTGCACTCGCCGGCCGCGCAGAAGCCCGGTCCGGCCGCCCTGCTGCATTTCCTCGCGGACCACATCCTGTGCCCGCCGGAGGGGGAGGCAGCCAGGCCGACGCACGTCTCGTTCATCGAGGACGCCGTCACAGACGCCCTCAAGCCCACCCTGACCAAGCTCCGTATCGAGGCCGGCACGCTCATCGTCGCCGATGGCATCGCAGAGTACACGAAGCTCTTCTCGAATAAGATGATTAACATGAACAAGGCCACCAGGGGCGACGCCGCGGAGAGGCCCGGCATCCTGTCCGTGCGCGGCCTCACCCCCTCGGTCGCGGGGGAGATGTGCGCCGCCGCGAAGGAGATGTTCCGCGCACGGCCGTGGAGCCGCATCGCGGAGCACATAGCCTTGGAGATCCGCCTGCCGACGCCGGATCCCGGGCATAACTACCGCGATCGCTATTACGTCACCGTCCTGGGCAGCGCCGGCAACGTCCAGGGCTTTGCCCTCATGCCGTCACTGACAAAGCTCAGGGAAAAGTATCGCCGCGCCGTGCGCAACAAGGGCGAGGCGCTGGAGGAGGTGTCGGACGACGAGGAGGGGGATGGCGCGTTTGAGGGCGCCCGCAAGGGGCATTCCGTTTCGCGTACCATGGATGACGTCTTGCTTTGCGGCGCGTGTGGGAAACGCGTCGGGGAGGCAACTGAAGGTGACGGCGCCAAGTATGTCGACCGGTGCGGCGGCTGTCGCAGGCTTCTGTATTGTAATGAGAGGTGCCAGAAGCTGGATTGGCGGGAACGGCACAAGGATGAATGCCAGCAAGCGACGAGCGATGCCGAGTATGTGTTTAAGAGGGACGAGTGGGCCTGGCTGCAACGGGAGCTGGCGCTGCTGTTTTTGGACCCAACGGCAATCCCGTTTGACGATCTGGATGCGGCGGAGACGTACAAGTGGGACTACATCGAGGAGGTGTCGCCGCCGCTGCATCCGCTGCCGTTCGTGACCGTTGAGGGCACGGCGTCAGGGACCAATCGCATGGACCGCCCGACCGTGAAGGAGTTTGGTTTCATGACCTTGATCGCGAAGGCGCTCACGGAATGTGTGTCGCCGCCGCCGGACGACGGGACATTGCATCTCGCGAGCGGCGTCAGCATCTCCGTGGCGGAGAATCTCAAGGAAAGCCTGCCTGCGACTCTTTGATCGAGCGTGCGGACGGGATCACTTGAGAGAGGATGGGCAGTCGTGCGATTCTGTACCGCGTGATCGCGAGTTCGGGGACGGTCAGACGTGGGGATTTGCTCTTTTCATGTCCCTTCGAGGAGGGAAAATGCGGATGTTTGATAAGTGTGTACTACTGTAGATGGGGAGCACTATCCCCGCCCTGCTTCCGACTGATGCAACTGATACTAGCAACAATGTGGCTTGCCATTTCCACTCACGGTGGGTGAAGCGCTCGCAATGCTTTTTCGAACGTTGCCTATCGCCAATGAAGCCATGCATAGCATGGGCAAGAGTGGGACTTGTGTGTGCTTTTTTCTTTTTTCGTTTCCGAGTTTACGGTACGCGCGCTCGGTGTTCGTCTGGTCTTGATGAACAGTGTTAGTTACAGTACTAATTTTCTGTCTCGTGTTTAAATATTTACCGGTGTGATGTCGTCAGTGCACCTCGAGGACCTCGATGCCACCCGTGTTGTTAGCCGCTACCAATACGTTGGAGTCGGGCTTCCACGCCACCGTACTCACAAATTCCGCCCTGGATCCAAACCCGTATCTCACAACAGGCCCTGCAAACCGCTTGTTGTACACGTACAACGAGTTGTCTTCTGACCCACATGCGAAGAAGTCGCCCCTGCCACTCAGCCCGACAAAATTTCTGTTGTTGGTGTGTCCTGCGTAGCTGAGGCCCGGCTCCTGCTTTTGCACGTTCCACAGCTTGCAGGACGAGTCAGTGGAAGCAGAGATGAGTTCACTTCGGTTCATGAAGAGTACGTGCGAGACGGCACGCCAGTGACCTTCAAACACACAAAGCGGCGTGCGTGGGTGGCGCAAGTCGTACGAGTACACGTTGTGGTCTGCCGACCCGAACGCGAACTCATGCGATTCGTGCGGGTTGAATTTGACGCAGCACACGTTTGCTTTGGTTTGCAAGGTCATGACTGACTCTGACTGGCGATCAACGTCCCAGAGTTTGACGGTGCGATCGTCAGATCCCGACAGGAGAAGGGTGGGTCGGAGGAGTGAAAAGTCGACATACCAGGTTCGCTGGGTGTGTTCTCGCAAGGCTTTGAGTTGTGTGTTTGTCTCGGTGTCGTGGATGAGAATGTCTCCCTTGTAGGTCGAGGCTGCCAAAATTGATGTCTGCTTTCTGCTCCAGGACAGGCAAGAGAGCTTGGAGACTGTGGGAATCTCAAGGATGGGGTAGTGATGGTGGTTGAGGTCGTCGGTTTCCGATGCGGGGAGCATGGTGTTGAAGTCAAAAACTTTGATGCGCTTGGTAACGCCCGCGGTGGCAAAGAGCGTTGCCGGGGTGTTGAACTCGATGGAAGAAATCAAATTGTGATTGCTTCTCAAAATGTCGATGTGCTGTATGCTGGAGCGCTTCGTGACGCCCGAGACGGAAGTGGCATCGACGAGCATGTTGGTAATCTCTTCGAGGGCGCGGTAATCGTCATCCGGTGCGGAGCGTCGTTGGAAATATGCGGTCTCGACGTTGTCCCTGTAACGAGCAATGAGTTGGTTCCTCGTGCTCAGCTCGGGGGGCATGGAATCGGGCAGGGAGGCGATTTGCGCGTCGTAGTTGCCGTTGGGGAAGAGAAAGTCGTCCATATCGACGGTGCGGCGGCGCAAGACTGCGAGATCATTGTCGATGAGCGAGAGCTGGTGTTTGAGTTTGTTCAAGGCGGAAGCTTTTTTGGTCCTCGCGTCCTCGAGAAACGAGATCATGAGTCTGGTGCCGATGGTGTGGCGGTCTGCGCGGGTGCGTGCCTTTCGTCTCAAGAGATGACTGAGAAGACGGTCAAGCTCGTCGTCAGACAGGGCGTCGACATTAGTCGGGCGTTGGTCTGCTCCGGTAAGATCCAAACCCCTAGCCCTGGCGCGTTGGACCAGGACGGCGAGTGCGGCGTTGGGGTAAAGCGCTTCGTAGAGAAAGGGCTTGTCGCAGACGGGGCAGATGGAAGTGGAGTTCGGGGCACGATGAGCATGCAAGTCGATGCACTTTGCGCAAAAAGTATGTCCGCAGCTAGTGACGGATGGGTCAGTGAACAGAGCGAGGCAGATAGGACATTCTAACGAACTCCGCTGGCGAGGCGAAGATTGGATGCCGTTCGGCATTAGCGAGCGCAGGGTGGTGGGGGCCGAGTCATCTCCGAAGTTGCGGACGGGGGAAGGGGAAGGGCAGTGAGAAGCGGCGTGGGTAGGGGTGCTTGGGGAAAGAGGGAGATATGTATCTGGAAGAGGGGGAGGGGGAGATTGGGAAGAGGGGTGCTGTTAGTGGGGGGAGGTAGGGCGGTTGGCGCGGTCATGAGGTTTGAGGCTGTGGTTTGAGGCTGTGGTTTGATGTGGGTTGGTGGTGGGGGCCCCCCACCACTGGGGGGGTTGAGGTGAGAGGGGGAGGGAATGGTAGGGGAGAAAGGGGGCGAGGCGGTTTGAGGCTGTCGTTTGACGTGTGAAGCGGCACAGGAATGGTCGGGCAACGTGCGGGCGGGGCCAATGGATTTGCTGCACTTGGCGGGAAAGAATTTGGAATCGGGTGTAAGGGGACGAAAACTTTTTGCCATTTCCGGGAAAAAGATGCGAGAAATGTCAGAAATTCGCCTCCCGATCCTCCTACATGTGACTTGTAATTTCGCTCATTCTGTCAAGAGTGCCACAGACACCCCCCCACACCACGCCCTCCTCGCCAACGAGTTCACCCCCTCCTTCCCCCGCGGGCGAAGAGCTCAATGTCAGCACCCCCCGCTCCTCTCGCCCGCACCTCGTCCCACCTCCGTCTGCGCGAATGTCGCCCCATGGCTAACCCCACTCCCCCCGACATGCCTCTCTCCGCCCCGGGCAAGCGCCGTCCATCGCTCACCTCCCCGCCGCTGCCCGCCTCTGACCTCACGCTCAAGCCGCCGCCGTACACAACGGCCGCCCCGCTCCCCGTGTCGCGTCGCCGCCGCCTCATCCTCTACTCGGTCGCCTTTGCCACCATGCTCGCCATGAGCTCCGTCCTGGACGTCCGCCGCGCCGCCCTCAAGCACCGCCACTCCAAGGTCCAGCTCTCGCTCCCGTCGGCCTCCTCGCTCTCGTCGCTCCCCAACGTCGACGACCACCAGGAGTCCCCCGTCTCCGCGGCCGACCTCCACCCCAACGAGAAAAACCCGTCCGTCTCTTTGCGCCCGGGCGACCCGTACCTGCCCGACGCCGACACCCACACCGCCAACCTCTCCGCCCCGACCGTGGCCAAGGGGCAGGTCGCCGCAGACCCCGACCAGCCCCCCGTCGTCAAGGGCGACCCCGTCCTGTCCGAGCAGGAGCTCAAGGACGATGTCGACCAGCTCATCGCCCACGTCGCTCAGGAGGAGGAGAACGGCGCAGCGAACGCGACCACCCCGACCTCCCCGCTCCCGGACCCGCCCGCCGACCCCGCTACCGAGAACAAGCCGGACCCCGCCGTCCCCGTGCCGAAACCCGTCCAGACCATCGCGAACACCTTTCTAGGCCTTGCCGCGGACCCGCCCCCCGCCGCCGCCACCCCGGATGGCAGCGCCCAGCCCAACACCACCGCTGACGGCACCGAGGTGCGCCTCAATTCGGAGGAAAGCTTCTCGTCGTCGCAAAAGCGCTTGCAGGTCTTGCTGGCCGACGATTCGGTCAAGCGCTTCGTCGACGAGAACGACCTGCGCACCTTGGAGGCCCTGGCCCTGCAGGCTACACGCGGCGATTGTGAGCAACGCAGTGGGTCGGAGGGCGGCTCCTTGTTTAAGACCGATGCGGAGGCCGCCTCCAATGTCGATATTGAACGCCACGATCCGCTGTGGGGCGCCTGGTGTCTGTTCATGGGATCGTACAAGACAGATGCCATGCGCGATTATGTCACCAAGCAGCGAGTCATCGAAGAGAAAATCCTCACGGCTAAGGGCAGTGCCGACGCTAATGTCACGGCCGTCGCCTCGGCCTTCGATCCGCATGCCGCTACTTTGGACGACGTCATGACGCCTGAGCAGCAGTCAGCCATGAGGGAGAAGATGGATACCATTGCCGCACATCTGCGAGAGTACGATGTAAGGTATCTAGCCGCCCTAGCGTTGCAGGCGACGTTTGGGGACTGCGGGCCGTACGGCAGTGAGGCTGTGGCTGCTGCGAAAGAGCCGGAGAGCACAGTTGAGCTGAGGAAGCTCGCTGAGCCCTTGCTGGATCAAATTGTTGTGCGACGGCAAGGGGCACAGTGGGGAGCATGGTGCGTGCTGCAAGGGAAGAAGCGCACGTTGGCGGCGTCTGAGCTGTCACAGAGAGTAGATTTGCTCGTGAATCAGCTCTCAAAGTCGCAGGCAGCCATTCAATCAGGGCTTCCGGACGGGTTGCCAGGGCAGAGTGAGGCGGCGCCGGCGTCCGTCAAGACGGTGGATGCGGCGGCGACGAGCAAGGAACTTGTGGCCTCATAGTTGGCACAATTTGTTTGTTTGGTTACTCTTCTTGTTCTGTAATCCTGTTGAGGATTGACGAGAATGGAAAGAAGTTTTTGTGTATATATTAAGTACGCGTCTGCAGCAGAGATGGTACAGCTAGGTTTCTAGGCTCTGACCACCTCGTTGCAGGCATTGATAACGACGTGTGCGAGATTTCGAAGACGCGACACATGCCTCATCAATGCAAGCACACGGCAACATATAGGTATTGTGAATCATACCGCTGCAAAGTCAGGGACAAGGTTCGGTTACGCATGCAATGGAGACGAGAGACGCGATTCGCACCAGTTATCTCGAAGCGCAAGAACGGACAGACTTTTGTCCACATCCCTGACGCTTTTGGAGATCTACTAGACTGCAGCACTTCTTTGCTGTCGTAATCGTGCTCGAAGCCTTGTCCGTCAAAAGAGTGGAAGGGCAAATTGGCGATCACTGTACTGTATACTTGCCGTAACTCCTTTGTTTGGAGGGTACCGTTTTTACATCCAGCTAGTCTCTGAATCATAGCTACACTACGAAGGACCATGCTCGGGACAATGGGGTCCCCAGAAGAGCCTGTAGAGGAGCCTGTAGAAGGACCGTGTTTAGTGGAATTGTAGAGGACAACCTTGAGAAAAGATTCAGATGCTTGCAGGTAGGTGCTGGAGCTTGCCACGTTGTCATAGGTACCTTAACACTGGCCTCTGGAGTCTCATCGGGAGGATTTGCAAACTAAAGTTATCAATAGACTACACTGCTGTGCACCCCCTAACCGGAGCGCTCTAGTTGGCGAGTTGTTGCTGGTGGTCAGAGGTACATCTAGCAAGTTCCATGTGGACGCCACTGGCAGGACGAATCTCTCGATGCAACGCGTTGGTACCGCCCTGGCCTTGTACATGCGGCCGAGTGGGCGGACGCGGAGCTTTCAGCCGTGGGTAATTGGCGTCTATAGATTGTTGCGCCTCTGGGCATCTGCCAGCACAATACCCACCAAAATTTCTGACTGCATCGTCGGGACAAGAGCCTGTGATAGTCATGGCCCCTGCAGCTCGCCAAGCGTTCGAAGCCATGTTCCTTGGGTCATGGCCCAACATCAACCTGAACTCTCTGGGATCAGATGGAGAACTTTTATTCGTAATACATCAGGGCGGCCATTTCTAATGCAAATACTCGCTCTACTACAACGGCTTTGGGTCTTTCACAGAAGCGTGTGAAGTCTGGAGCCATCCCGTAGTTGTTGGGCAGCCTTTGTGTGTTCCCACGAAAAATTCTGCCCACAATTCTAGTGTTCAGGACTTTGCGATCGGGACAGAGGTGCTTCTACATTGCGGGAAGGGATGGCCCATCTTGGACGCGCGGTACGGCGTACTGATGTCAAGGATTGCGGTCCGCACTCTTTTTTGGGTGCAAGTCACCAAGTGCATAAACGCATCTAAAACGCGAGGCAAAACAGCAAAGTTGTAGTACGTTACGAATACTTGCCATCAACCCCCCTTCTTCCGCTGTTGTGCCGCCTTGTCCACTATTGAACAAACGAAAAGTTTTACTCGCACTACCCCTCCTTTTTTTTCCGCCTTCTGACGTTGCTTTAGCGCACACAAATTGTAAAGAAAGCAACTGAGCAAAGCTTGGTGCCCAAAACTCCGAGCTCAGCAAGAATGTTGGGGATTTCAGCAGCGGTTGTGGCCGTATGCATATTTGCTGCCAGTGTCAAGGCGCAAATCCCGACTGAAAGAGAAGAAAGCTGCGGTGCTCTCCTCTCTTCCGTCATTTCCGTCTGCTCGCACCCGACTCTGGGTCGTCCAGACTGGTGCTGCAATGAATTGAAGCGTTGGAATGATGCCCGGTACGTTGTTTTCGGTGCAAGCTCTGCGGACTTTTTGTATGATGCCTTGTTTGGAATGGCGGTCCTGATTCTAACCACAAAGATGTAACCGTGTCTCTGAATATCGCAACTCTGCCGCAGATGCTGGTGCGAGCCCAACGCGTTCGACGCCCTGGACACGGTATCCGGGAACGGGTATGCCTTTTCCTTCCGCGACAGCTACTGCCAGGAGGCGTTCCAGCGTCCGAACCGGGGGTCAATCCTCCCGGAGCACGCGACGTGCTCTCCCTTCGAGTCGATCGCCGAGACGAACGGGATGGAGGAGTGTGACGGTGTGGACGCAGAGACGCTGCGCGTGCAGCGCGTCGCGGCGCTCGAAGCGCTCCGCACGGATGCAGTGTCCTCCAGCAGCGACCTGGGCGCATGGTTCCTACGGCTGGACGCGCTCTTCACAGAAGACGCGACGTACGAAAACGTGGGCATCTTCTTGGGGCGCGGGCGGTTCGAGGTGAAGCAGTACTTGATGACGCGGCAAGCAGCGTACGGCTTCCTCCCCAGCACTTCGAACTTCACAGCCGGGCACTTCTGGCGGTCGCCGTTGATGGTGTCGTACTCTGCGGGGGTGACAAGCGAGGACGCAGTGTACAATACGCGGGAGTTTGTGACGTTCGAGCGGTGCGGCGCGCGCATCGCGGCCGTGCAGTCGCTAGACGATAACTACCAGGCGCGGTACAGGCAGTTCTGGGACGCGAGCGACAGCCGGCTACTGGCGCGGTACCAGCGCAGCGCCGAGCAGTGGTGCGACGAGGTGGCGGCGCGGTGCACAGGGGCCAGCTATCCGTTCGCGGACGCGGGCGAGTGCGAGGAGATGCACGCGAGGCTGACCGCGGAGGGGAGGGTGACGTGCAACCGGTTCGAGCAGGCGTACGTGCCGCAGTACGCCTCACACGGGGACACGCTCGCGTGCAGATCGTTCTACCTCGACCTCGCCGTCGTGGACGCTGGGGGGGCTTGCTCGGCCGTCGGCGAGAGCGTCAACCAAGGACGGTGCGGAGAGACGCAGTGCCCTGGGGGGAGCTTTATTGACCCGTTTAGCAGGGACCCGCTGCAGGCGCAGTACGAGGGGGAGAATGGGTTCACGTGCTCGACGACCAGCTGCAGAGAGAACTGGCCGTCCGCGGAGCAGATTCTTAGCATTCCGCAAGAAGAGGGCATGGAGATCGAGGAAGAGAGTGTGGTGAGCGGCGGAAGGAGCGTCGGCGGGAGGGCGACAGATGAAGAGATTGCGGCAGACGCAGACTCCGGGATTGATACGGACTTTGAGAATGACGTGGAGCCGCGCACGGAGCCCGTGAGCCCTGGGTCGACGTTTATGTTTGAGTCCATCGCAGCGTGACGTGTGGCGTAAGCTTCTGAAGCATTTTGGTGTGGTGTAGTTTAGAAGGCGTGGTACGTGTCCCTCGGCGAGGGCGCTTTTGTTTATTGCGACGGTGGAAGAAGACGGGCGGTGATGTTGTCTACGTGTAGCTTCCGATAAAGTATGTTTGATGTTGGCATCGAAGGATGGAAGGTGATGTTCCCTGCTTGTAGCGTCCGGTAAAGTATATTCGATGCTGGCATCGAAGGATGGAAGTTGATGTCGCGGCGGCAGTCCTTCCAATCCACAGTCTCCCGCCAAAATACAAACCGCCGCGCCAAATTTCAAATTCAAACCCAACCCCCCCACGATCCCAGTCGGACGCAACCCGCCTGAACCCTCCCTCGCACCTTGATTACTTGCGAAGTTGGAAACCCTCCCCCCCTCCCCCCCCTCCCGCGCTAACCACCCTCTTCCGCTCCGCACACCCCGCCGGCCGCCCAGCAATCCCCACCATGTCGCTCAACGCGCCACCGCTCTCCGACCTCACCAACGACGCGCTCACGCCGCCGCCGAAGTCGGGCGCGCTAGCGCCGTGCACGCCGCCGTCGGCCAAGTACGTGACGGCGACGTCGACGCCGTCCTCGCTCACCGCGCGCCCCGCCCCGCGCACGCCTATCCTCACCGACGCGGCCGCCGAGCTGCGCCGCACCTCTTGCGCGAGCTCGGACGAAGGCGAC